AAAACGGCAATGACTTAGTTGCCAACCCAATAGATAATAAAAACTGTGCCGTTCACATTGTAGGCCATTAATAAATAAAAATACAGAAAATATACGCAATCGTAATACGTATGGCTGTTTAAGCTCAAAAAATTTGTATAGCGGAATAAATAATTTTAACCAATAAATGTAAAGGTACATAGAGATTAAGAAGAAATGACCAAAAAGAAGTGATAACTATAAAAAACTAATTCATAATTTAGTAAGTGGTTGTAATTGAAAATAAACTGAAAGAAAGCGAAAAATCAAGCTTACAAAATAACCTACATTAAATACACACAAAGGGTGACTTTAAATAACCCGCAATCATGTTCGCTTGATTATTGGTTTGATTGTACATTTATGTATAACATTATCAAAACTTGAATAATAGTTTACAATGACACTATATGGAAGAAATTTGAAAAATTATTGACGCCTTATTTATCTAATGTAATAAATATTTTCAGAGTTGCTAAACATCTCGCGAAGACATCTGCGATTGTAGATCGCCACCGTCTCTTGAATAATTTTACATGAAAATCTATTGTACTTACCCATTTTTATTTCATTTGACAGCCTTCTATCCAACCTCCAGTTGTTATGACGACACGAATAGTTTGTGGCATTCCCCTAAATTGGCTCATATTTCACGTTCCATTACAGCCTTCACCGTTTCTCAACTTTTACAATTAAAATAAATACTGGCAATGTTTCTATAAATATAGCTTGAATTCATCATCAGACTCATCAGACTGTTTCGCTTACATTGAATAAGTCTGATTCAAATCTTACTATAACGAATTGAATATATCATAATACTCTCCTATACATATAGGTATGAACTGGAAAGAGTCAAAACTATTTACTTTAAGTTTATTATATCAGAGGTTAGAATTTCGAAATATAGGTAGACGTGAATTCAATTTATATTTTTATGTATTCTCACAGGAGCATCTTGTTCCAAATTATTAGCTCCTAATCAACATAGTCGAGTGGTGAGAGTGGTGGTGAACTCTTCCCCTCTCACACTTCTCTAACTACACCTTACACTAAACTGAGAAATCTCAAACGGATTTCACCAATGGACCTTACGAAAATAATCAATTCCTAAGACAAATTTTATTTCCTTTACTGCTACTTCAAATCATTATTAATACTTTATTTTGTTATTATAACTATAGAGGAACGTAAGAGCATATTTGACTAAATAATAAACAAATTATTCTCTTTGTATTGCACTTGTTTGCTGAATTAGCATTGACATTTATAGGAGCCTTCCAAGATCCTACTAAGGGACAATTCGCATTCTAAAAAGCCATCATAGACAAGTACTTGTTTCACAAAATGGCATCCGATAAATTGATGTTTTAGATGTAGGCGAGAAAATCCAGTTATCGAGAAAATTGAATGAAATTTAAGTCGAAGTTTAACAAAATTACCATTAATGCGAGGTGTAATGGAATATAGCTGGGAAATTAGGAGGAGGTAGTGAATTTAGAAGACCAGAAGGACAAAACCAACAAATGCGCGACATTAAGTAACACACAAAAGCAGAAAATAATGTCTGAAGACAAAAAAGACACAGGACATGACGAAAGACGTTTGTGATTGGGGTGGGATCGAGGATTCGGAAGTGACAAATTTTACTTTCAATAAAGGACATTTTTCAGGAGGAAACTGTTGCATTTGCCACTTTAGCTGGTTCCTCTTTCGGTTTCATTTCGGAAGTTCCTGCTTCTTCAGATTTCTTTTCTATTTCCGTCTAAAAAAATTATTTAAAAGGAAAGTGATCCTAGTTTAAGTTCTCTTATTTTATGTTTTATTCTTACCTCTTTAGGCTTCAGTTTCGGACTAATGATGACTTTTCCGAAGTTCTCCCTACTTTGCAATCTGTGCAAAGCATCTTTTATCTACAATCATTTGTCATTAGCATTATTTGGTGTTATTTTTTATTACGGGAGGTGTTGTGCTGTGACGATTTGAACCGATAATGGCCTTGATATGGGTTTCATCCACTTCGACTGGGCGGCCAGATCGTTGTGAAATTTCCAGTGAAAAATTACCGGAACGAAATCTTTCAAACCAATTTCGACACTGCCTTTCTTTTAAGGCTTCATCTCCATATACGGCACATAACTTCTTTCGTGCTTGCGATGCGTTCTTGCCTTTTCGGAAGTAATACAATAAAATGTGTCGGAAGTGCACGTCCTGTTCTTTCATTTTTAAATTGGGATAAAAACAAAACTAAAGAACTAAACAAAAAAATTTTTACTAATTAACCTAGAAGCCCATACAGTAAGAAAAAAATATAGGTCAGATGTTCTGGCCACGTTAACAAAACAAAAGAAAGTATAGAGTGAATCTGTCAACAAAAACGGCAATGACTTAGTTGCCAACCCAATAGATAATAAAAACTGTGCCGTTCACATTGTAGGCCATTAATAAATAAAAATACAGAAAATATACGCAATCGTAATACGTATGGCTGTTTAAGCTCAAAAAATTTGTATAGCGGAATAAATAATTTTAACCAATAAATGTAAAGGTACATAGAGATTAAGAAGAAATGACCAAAAAGAAGTGATAACTATAAAAAACTAATTCATAATTTAGTAAGTGGTTGTAATTGAAAATAAACTGAAAGAAAGCGAAAAATNTTTGCCACTTTAGCTGGTTCCTCTTTCGGTTTCATTTCGGAAGTTCCTGCTTCTTCAGATTTCTTTTCTATTTCCGTCTAAAAAAATTATTTAAAAGGAAAGTGATTCTAGTTTAAGTTCTCTTATTTTATGTTTTATTCTTACCTCTTTAGGCCTCAGTTTCGGACTAATGATGACTTTTCCGAAGTTCTCTCTACTTTGCAATCTGTGCAAAGCATCTTTTATCTACAATCATTTGTCATTAGCATTATTTGGTGTTATTTTTTATTACGAGAGGTTTTATTGATTAAATCATAGATTACGAACCTCTTCAAAACTCCATTCGCTATCCACGATTGGCTCAATTTTCTTCTCATTCAGGAGTTGATTGAGAGCCGTCCATGCATCGAAAATAAGTTTGGAGTAGCGCTGTCGGAAAATCATCTGTTTTAAGGAGAATCCTCCCAACGTTTTGTTTTCTTCAAGGAGTTTAAGAGGGCTAATGCGGTCCATTTGTATCCACTGAAACGCCAAGTCACTTAAATAATGCATACATATGTTATCATTAGTTAGTGTGATTTTTTTATCTAACTTACCGATTTTGCAAAGCTGAAGAGATTTTTCTTTTCACCAGTAACGAAATTAGAACTTCCTATAATTTATGAAATAAGCCATATTATCGGTCATGCAAAATTATGCCTAAATGACTTTCAGTTCAATCTATTGTAACGTTACGAACCGTAGACGATGTAACGACCCAATGGTTGGAGGAGAGAGATTGATTTGCTTGTATCTTCACCAGAACGACAATCTAGAACTACTGTTATTCCAAGAGGATTTTCCCTTAAAAAATAAACCTATTCTGTTAAAATATTCTATTTGAAGCTAAAGGAAAAATTTTCCATCGGCATACTTCTTAATTTCTGTCACATAGTCCATTGTGCTACTGATAAGTTGTGAGTAGTATGGCTGCAGTTTCTCATGTTTTGCAACTGAGGCAGTACCAATCATCTTCACATTTGGAATTTGTTTGACCAGTTGTCCGATTGCTGTACCCTATTAAGCGTTAAATTCAAAATCGGATTATATATCAACACATTTAGTGCGTGCATTTTTAAATAGAAATAAAATATTTTTGAATCATTTGATTGCAGATATCTAGCTATAATAACCCTATGAAATTTGTCCAATATGATGCACTGCATTCTAGAGTCAAACTAAAATATGAATTCTTAAAAATTGAAATGAGAATTTTAATACTCGTTTAACATTGAGACATACGTTTTAAGCGCACAGACTAAGTAGGCATCTTCCTGCATTTCATTTTCCCATATTAATTCTGAACCTAACCTCTTTTGTGCTACATTAAATAGAACTAAAACTTCATGATTTGCATTAAATATAATTTCTATATTATCAACTCCGCAGCCTGGCGTAGCCATGACCACTTTAATCTTCCCCAATCAACCTAAATGCACTAAATTATATTTTAAACTAGAGTTATCGTATTTGGCTCTTTAGCCAGAAAAAAATATTTTTACAAAATTGCCAAACAGTCTCCCTCTTCTCATAAGAAATTGAGAGCTCGCTCTTCAAACATTGATCCCAGTAGAAATTCCGACATATTATAGCAACAGTTGTTAATGACTAATATTTGTTTAAGTTAGATATATATTTAAAATGTCCCTTTTATGGCCATCGGTATTGGTGACGAGAGGAAAACTCCGATCTTGATATTCATTCACTACATGCTTTGATCACTTTAAAGCTTTTATTTAAATCAAAGCATTGTGTCATCAACTAACTTTTAATAATAAATCAATAATGAATTATCATGCATATAAAGGAACTCTTTGAATAGTTAAATATTGGGCATTTCAAATAATAGAGCAGAATACAAAAAAAGTGGTTTATGGGAATGTGAAACGTTGCTTTTTATTTATAATCTCTTTAGGGCGACAAAAGACTATTTGGGTTAATGGAAAAAGAGATAAATCCCCAAATTCAATTGCACTTTTTAAATATTTAACATATGAAATTGATCTATTTAGCTCCGTAAAAATAGGAGACAAGAGAAGTCGAAAGGTCATTTTCTGCTAATCGAAGCTGTTAAGTCTATTTAATAAGGAGGAAAAGAAGACCAAACCACAAATTGGTTTGAGACATTTTTTAAAGCACTTTTCTGAGCGATTGAGAGAAAGCTATTACGCATTGCATAATTAAATTTTTTTAAGTAAATTTTCAACAAACTATAAAAACAAACTTTAGGCATTTCATGCCACTTTGCTTAATGGCATAAGAAAATAGTAATTGAATGCAATTTGGTAGCGTTCCTTACACCCGTTTCAGCTCTGCATTGCACATTAATGCTGACAATTTCCTTATAATACCGGGGTGCGCAATAGACTTACCTCCACGTGGTGCACCCTGGGCAACGTATATTCATACGGCAAGAAAGTCTATTAACTGGCAGTTGACTTCTCACTTCAAACTACCATCACCTCACTCTATGCCATATTCGACTATTTCCACAGTACTCACCTCACCTTTCACCTACCTTTGTGTTTGTCTCTTACATCTTTGAAACACTCTTTTGCCCCCCTCTCGACTATTTTTCAATTCGATATTCCTTCACCTCTGTGAAGCCTGAAGTCGGCTAAAGGGCTAATGATAACCATCAAGACGCCTGCCGTTTGATA